AGAGCGACACCCGTTTCAGATGTGTGGCTGTTAATCCTCGTCTGATATGGTTCTTTCAATGAAGAAACATTCCGTTTGGTAATTGCAAGGGGAATAAAACCCGCGTTGACAAAATTTTTAAGATGCATGGTTGGCTCATTTGGTTCCTTCCTTGCCCTTGTGATTTCTGTTTCACGCAGTCTCGTAATCTTTTTCTTCCATTTATTGAAAATTACTATGGCCTCTTATCCATCCCATGCTTCTCTTTCCCTCATTGTCCCCACTAGACGAGTTTTTTCTTGCTCTATTTGATCAATAAGTTAACCACTTTGGTTGATTTGGCCAATAAAATTGCTCAACTGGTTGGTGTCGGATATCGGTACGCATGGTGGACTTCGTCCTCACAATCGATCATGAGACTAACCGGGTGGTTGGTTGGTATATTCACAACGCATTCGTTTGTTGGTGCAAACAGTGTTGCATTATTTTTCCCCCATTAACCTCGTAGTTTCTGAGCGGTTCTTGTAAAGCGACAGTGTTATGCTCTTGAAAATTCGGAGAGAATTCCCACAGCAGTTTTTCGTCATCATCATCATCATCGCGCCAACCGACCAATTGTACAGTCCTTTTGATCCCATTGTAGAGAATGAGCGGCACTTTCTCTACCTGATAGCTCTGTGCATTTCTTTTTTGTCTCATCTCAACATCATCTGTTGACTTCCACGTGGTCTTCCCCAGTCTGAAGCAATCACGGCAAATGAGACAAGGTGCTCTAGGCGACTGATAGACATGCGAAGAACGTCTTAACAAGCGGAACCCATTGAGCTAAATTCAGTGCGATAGCCAGCTCTTACTCGACACATTCCCAAACAACCTACGATTTACTTATAGGTTGCTAACCCACTCACTCCATCCCACGTGGGGCAGATTACGTAAGCCTCCATTATCGAAAACCTCCGAGAGATGAGTGCCTTTATCCGCAAATTCAAGGTCTCGCAACCGTAAAGCAGAACTGATCATACATTGGCACGGTACAAGCGATTTGTCAATGTCAGTGAAATATCAAGCCGTCGCCACAGGTGCTTTAGTTCTGTGTATGCTGCTCGAACCTTGGGAATGCGGGTGGTTACCTTCAATGCACTAACCTCTTTAGTCGCACAATTACCTAAATACGAGAAGCAGAAAACTTCAGCTAATTCCTCACTATCTGGTTCGAGAACAGAATTCGGTGATTACCAGTTTTACAGCATCACTTTGCACCTAACATTTTGGAAAACCTAATGAGTTCTCTATTTCCTCTAAAAGGAAATTGAACAGGGATGATGAAATACAGCACTCTTGACAAACTCCGCTGCTGGTTTCATAAGATCTGCTCAGTACGCTTACGCTTAGGCTACTAGAAGCATGCGACAAGATTGACCTCATTAGGTTTAAATAGTTAAGCGGACCCATAAGCACTTCGCACTCAGCTGAGTCCAGGCTCTCTTTAGATCAAAATACACCACAAAAGTTGGTCAATGATACTAGATGGATGGTGTCAATGAATTCCAAATTGCACAATTTTTTTCAGCTTTTCATTGATTCCCAACATTCTGAAGATCACTCATGTTCTCCAATATTTTCTCTACGCCGAAACTGAGGAACAATGGTGAACCAAGGCCTCCCTAATAAACACCGCTGGTGACGACGAATGAGGTTCTGAGTTCACTATAAACCCTTATCTATCCGGAAGAATGTTATTACATTGACCTTGTTCATATGACGTACTTCTGGGGTACTGGGTACTTGTGCGCTTCACGAAGTTGCATGAACCTTCAAGAATGAAGGGTGAGGGTGAGATTGTCTGAAAATATATTGTAATAATAGGAATGGGCCCTTGTTACATGTGTCGTAGATCCGGCAAATTGAAATTTTTAGCTAGGTTGGCTTTTTGACCGATCTGATGCAGTAAGCAGCTATTGAACGCAGTACGGCGAAGAGAGTGCCTTGGTTTAGTCAGTCCGGTGGTTTCCGATTTCATTATATTATTGGCTCGACACCAAATGTTCCACCTTTAAAGGTTTTTTTCACTATTGTGTAATGAACAATAGACCGGATGAACTGCATAATCACGAAGATCTGCTGTTCAGTGATTGAAGCGGGTAACCTAGGCCCCAGGAATCGGAGAGGTGAACCACACGAGGCCCTGCTGGATAATTTGTGGCATTGAGCCCGACGATAGCAAAGCTGTCTACCACCAAAGTTGGGTGGCGGTGGTGTAGCTGGAATCTCGGGTTCTAGGGTTCTAGACATGCGACTTAATCTTTGTGCCATCACAATTGAGATTGCATCACTGTGTGGTCTGAGGACCTAAGCGGTGTGTTACAGTTGCGAGCGCTAGCCAAGTAAACCCCATCACATCCTCGAATACTACTACCGTTCATCCGGGAGTACTTATTTAGTCACTTTAGGTTCATATCAATCACAGCTTATCCTTAGACTGGTGGCACACTCCCTGTCCGCGAACTGGGAATGCGCCCAACGACTGATTTCTGGCCTCGCAAATGCATTGTTTAGTCCTTTGTTAGTTTTTTCTAAATTAAGGCGAGTTAGCTAACAGATTGCTAGGCATTTCATAAGTTTATGCGCATTCCGTTTAATATAAAATGGTCAAAGCTGGCGTATATAATCATGTGTTACTGCATCGCTTCGGTGATCACATTTCTTCGAATACTTGCGGTAGAATTCTTCCAATGCGCTTCCTTATTCTCATTTTATGCCCGAAATCAGATACATTGGGTCACCAGACAGTAACTATCGTTGATATCTCTACTTCTTATCGTAGTGTGGTTGCACTGGAGGAAAATATGTTGAAATACAAGCACCTCACATCTCCAGCTGCTTACGCCGCTGAAAAACAGTATTTGACAGACTGGGTCGACGTCCAGGAAATAATGCCGGCTCTGCCTTCCACTCGGTAAGTCAACTTGATCAGTCCTCTTGATATATTTTTCCATATGCCATACACACTCGCTTTTTATCACATTTCATAGGGATTCAGCGCTCCTTTTCAAACGAACATTTTTAGTCCTTTATTCCCTTAATGTATCCATTTGAAGGATATTCTAACTCGTGGTGAAATACAAGCTCTTCTGCATAGTTTGATTGCCGGCGTAACCATGTTCGTTATGCGTTTTGTTGATAGTTGTAAAAACTGATACTGAAAGCTTGTGCTCGTGGCAGTTTCTGTAATGCATAGTTAAAACCCTGCCGGTTTCAAGCTGATGATTTTCCGACTGACTGACCAGTAATGACGATAATGATGACAATATAATATAATATACATATATATAATATGTATAATATAATATAATATAATGACAATGATATTGATTTAATTCTGAAATAATACTAGCTTTTCTTCAATCCTGCACTAAATTCGGAACACAACTTTCAGTGTGTAATGAAGTTCCGTAATGTTTACGTCGTGAGTTTTTCATGTCTGCTACAGATATAATTTTGCAATGCTTCGCCAGCGCAACACGTCACGTCTTGGCTTCATCTGCATGTGTTCCCAAAGACTTGGCAAACAAGATGAGTTTCTGTCGAAGAAATTCCAACCTGGCTGCTTGCTTCCAGCCGAGCCATAACCCTGGAGACTAGTGCTGAAATAAACAAAGTGTGATACCCGCGTCAAGCTAACAAGGATGAGTTGAACTATATCGCGTAAAGTTACATTGAAAAACGGCCTAATCAGCAGCTGCCCAGTGGTCCAGTGGGTAGTATGCACGTGTTCTACTTGTTAGGTCTCTAGTTGCATCCTCTGTTGGGTCCATAGATTCGTGCTGCTGATCTTTATCCACTTCCTGTTTGATCTCCGTTTTTTTATCCCAGTCTCTGATCCTCTGTTATTGCTATTGTGTCGCTGCTGCCACGCTTGTTCGCAAGTCTATGATATATATCATCTCTTTGACAGAGATACCCGCAATGCTATGATTTGTGATGTTTTTCATCTCATTTTCCCACTCTTCTTAGAATTGACCCCAATCTCCCAAATGTGGTAATGCAAATAAACCATATCACAGTCGCTCTACCCATGGACAGGAATTGTGAACTAGTTCAAGGTGAGCAATTGAGACACTTAAGTTCATTAAAACAAACATGAAACTGTCATTTTACGGAGATTTTCAGGCTACTGCGGAGTGTTGGCGTGTTCTCCGAGGTGGAAATGTTGTTCACAGACGTTTTAGAGCTAGGCTAAATAACATCATCAGTGCAGCTTCGGGGATGTTGCCTATCCTGGCTATGAAACGTCCACGGACAACACTTCCAGCTCGCAGAACACACCAGCATCCACATCCCGAGTTACTATCATTCCACATTCCTACTGCAGTGTATTAAGTATTAGGGTGGTGGTACCGCAGTGGTCTAGTCGCTGTCACTGGCATGCTCTGGGCCCTATCATCCGAGGTGCCAGTCCGCCACCTAGATTTAGTAGTGGACAGCTTTGACATCGTCCAGTTCAATACCACACCTAACCTAGTGGGGCCTTAAGTGGTTCACGCCTCCAAATACCGCGGCTTAGGTTGCCGGTTGCCATCACTGAACAGCAGATCTTCGTGACTATGAGGTCTGCTGTTCATCGCATCAAAATTTTTTAAATAAAAAAATCCTTACTCGTTCCAGTTTAAGACGTCTCTATTTTAGCTGTCGCGAGTTTGTCTTTCTTGTGTAAATGACGATAGTAGATAAATAAATGAAAAATGAAAAATAGGCACAATGCAGCATTTTGAAATAAATTAATGGTGCAAAAACCGATCTCTAACATTATTAGCCAAGTTACCAAAGCTCTTCAATTTGTATTTGTTTGTATTTCACACACATCTGAGTCATAACCGTGTGCCAAACAAATCATATTGCAATAATCTCTGTAATGAAGAGAAATTTTCATTATTTGGGCGGAGTACTACCAGGTTGCCCAGGCCAAGGCATTTAAATATTCTTGTGGAATTCAAAATCGGATCCTTTGACTAACCAAAGCCTGACCCACAAGGCAGCCAGGTAATGTGAACAGTGTAATCCATTGGGAGCCGGTGTCGAGTTCATCGGATCGGACGGGGTCAAATGTCCAAGGCAATCAGTACATTTCAATGCCTAATCAAACTGGTGACCACTACCACAATCAGGAAGGTGTGTGTAGTTCGTACTCGTTTTCTGCGGTTCCTTGGC